TAATGTCATGGTTTCCTCTTATCCAGAACCCTTTTCCTCTTATTCTTACAGACTCAGGAGCAGACAGTCGCCTGAATGAGGGCAGCCCTTTGAATGTGGGCGACACCAACGGACAATCAGGCCTCCAGACTGGAACCTAATTAACCTGAGAACAAACGAGGAAAACACCGAAACTAACAAAATACTAACAAAACAAACACGCACACGCAGCTGCACACGAACAAACCCTTTTAAACTAAAATATTATAGGATGCACAATTTGCTATTTGGTGTTTTTCTAATGAGGACCTCTTTTTTGGATTTTAGACACCCTGATAAACTGATGTTTGACTGTAGGTGCAACAAACCGCTTTAAACGTCTTTATGAAGGGTTTGTGAACCCAGATAATGCAGCTGTGAAGACGGATTCATCCAGCTGTATCTTCAAGCCCCTTTTGCATTGCAGGAACTTTTCCGGGGGTCCAGAAGCCATTTTACGTTTTTAGGGAACTGAAGAACTTTACCTGCTATTTGACCGGAGGAGCACAGGTCTTGATTTAGTTCCTTTACCGCTGTTCTTGGCCCTGAAGTGTCAATATTTTCTGTGTCCTGAGAACTCAGTGGTCAAAAAGAAACCTTGTGGCTACTTTACGGTCGGGTCACACCAGAAAGTGGTACAGCGAAACGAATCATGTTTTTGCTTGGTGACAGTGACAATACTAACTGCCACAGCTGGCGAGCTAACCGCTAACATGCTATCCAGTCAGCCACAGGTTTATTATCTCAGCTTCTAATGAGACAATTTATTTAAATTATGTATTTGCAGCATTGACTCCTGTCTCATAAACCATTTGCTATGTTGTGGAATTAAAACTTTTTGGCTCTACATCCGTTCGTTCTGTCAAGACGGCCTGCTATCAGTCAGCCACCCTAATTTGTGCCTTTCTGCTGAAATCACTTTAACTAAATGCTGGTGTGACGAGGCCTTTGAGCAAGCGCTGCTGCCACTCTGGACAAGGGAGGGACATTTTTTGTGATGTGTATTTAAAGTTTCATGTTGTTTTATGACTGTCACTGTTCTTCAGATGAATTGATTTCTAAATTTAACCTAATTTAGTTCCTGGGGTTCAGCAGTTCTATGCACTATTTAATGGAAAAGAGACATTAGAGTTTCAAGGATCTTTTGCAAATGTTTTGCGGGGCTGAGAACCAAAAAGCTGCATCACAAACTTGGTGAATTCTGTGACTGTTTGTGAACTTTATGATGTTTGAAACCAGATGAGGATGTCGTCTTTACTCTTTGAGGTCGTCATCCTTTGGCACTAGTAGGGAACCGTGCTCTCGGACACTTTGCACAGGCTGGATTTCCAGACTCAAAGACTGACTTAATGTTCTACTACCTATACTGTCCTGCTGCTTTTAAGCCGTCACTGAACTTAAAGGGCACACCAAGAGGGCGAGCTGCTTCTGGGAATTGTTTCTTGTCTGGATTATAAAGATGAATGTGACTGAATCACTGATGTGACTGAACAATGCCGACTTTCTTTTTGACGTGGCAAGATTAATATTTAATTTTCTGTCACAAACCGCCATAAAATCTTTTCAATGTATAATCTCCTCTCTGCACTGCCACACTTGACCTCTCTCACAAATGTGTCATAATTAATGTAATGTTATTAAAAAGACTAATAGCTAAAGGTTTGTGTGTATCTATTGTGCTTTTTGATCTGAGATATGACAAAACAATCTGAAAGCTCTGGTGTGTAACATTTAGAATGATCTATTGGCAGAAATGTAATATAATATTCATGTTTATTAGTGTATAATCACCTGAATATAGGAGTTTTTGTTACCTTAGAATAAGCTGTTTTTTCTACAGACGCCACAGGTCGCCTTCTGTGGAGCCCGCCATGTTTAACCGCCATGTTTCTATAGTAGCCCAGAACGGACAAACCAACAACTGGCTATAAAAAGCATTGTTCACAGCCACCGTAGTTCCTCCCTCGCATTTGGAAAGTGGGGTGAAACAAATGAGCTAAACTATTCTTTATCCTTAAATTGGATCCCCATAAAGTGGTCGCTAGTCTTCCTGGGGTCCACACAAAAACAATAAAAACAATCAACAATTTAAAATCCCACAGTGTCAATAAAAAACAGGAGATCAGTAATGAATAGTGAAATGATACTATGTATGAAAACAATTAACAACGTAGCCTACAGTGTAAACAAAACAAAAATAGTCACAAACACTAAAACAATAAATTCACTGTAAACAACCAAAAAGATCCCAAAAAAAGAAAAGCTAAATAATCTCTACGTGAGATTCATCAACTACACTGCAAAAAAATCCTACACACTGGACCTTTGACTCAAGGGTCACTTACTAGCCTCCTTTCTGGAGCTTTTAACCAGCAGACGTTTGCTCAGTTGATCACAAACCACTACTGGATGTGAGGTGCCGACTCTGAACTCTCTTGAAACCTTTTGAAAAAGCTGGCAGGTGGATCTTAAGGGACTAGTGTGTTGGCTTTAGTGGCATCTAATGTCGTTTCAGATTACTACCCCCTCGACTCGCCGTCCCCCTCCATGCGTGTAGGAGAAACTACACAGGTCCTTTAATACCCCGTAATAAACCCTCTGATGCCAGTTTTTCTAAATCGCCTAAATTTAACCCCTTGGACCTGCCCCTGTGGTAGATTTGTGATTTAAAATCATTCAGGTGCTACCCTTGAACATCAGTTAATCTGTAACAACAGACTTCACAGTTTAATCTTTGATATGGCAGTCTTTGACCTTTGATCTACTGCTTCAACCGCTCACATGCACTCCCTATCACACTCACTAAGGCTAAAGTTAGAGGCAGCTGCCAAGACTTGTCAGACAGGTTATTCAGCCCTGCTGTGATTCCTCTTAAAATCTTTTAGTACATTTTAGTCTACAGCCGGATCACCAGAGGAATATTCAACTTGATGATGGCTCTGTGGAAGTGTGTTAGGCGTCTGGTTTTCGTGCTCTTTTTGTGGACTTTTCAGAGAGGAGGTGAGTGAGGCATTCACAGCCCATCTGATTTTATTCCAGTCTGAAACTTAAACTGAAACTTGTAGATACATTGGTCCCTTTTTTATTTTTACAGAGAAAACCAAGAATAGCTGTAAATATAATTAACATATGTAGTCACTTTTCCCAGTGACATTCTGATAGTTTGGTGCTAATGTGGTGTTAGTTTTCAGATATTGTCATATGAGAGGAATCCAGTTTCACTACATATATGTTTGTGTTGAGCTGAAACTTTGGTTTAAGCACTTTAAACAAAAACAACATTGAATTGGACTGTGTGTGTGAAGGTCGTCAGTACACAACCCTAAAACTATGGACCTACATACCATTAGAGATACGTGAGACGTCTGTGTATGAGTAAGTGTAAGTTAACCCTTTAACTGAAGAAGAAATTCGTTTTAACTTGCTTGTTTTAACTAAATTAAACTAAAGTACAAACAGAGATTTCTCATTATCTGAGTCATGCTTTGGACTTTAGTCCAGTGGCCTCAGTCCAGAGTGACTGGGAGTGACCTGATTACGAAGTAGGAATAACACCACTACACCCTGATACTGAACCTTTTCATTGAGAATCGAAATGTGAAGCAAATAAAATTAATCTGTTGGCTGGAATGTGGCACCACCTGTCTGGGCAGATTTTGTAAATACTTTCGTTTACTAAAGAGTATTTCCTTGTTACTTGTTACAAACAAAATGTCCAACACACACACACACACAAAAGATTTTCTAATTTTAAAGCTGCACTAATAGATATTTTTATTTCTTTTTCTTTTTTTTTTACAATTGATCAAATCAAAATGTGTAATGTGAAAGGGACTTCGCACCAAGCTTTTAGGAGCATTTTAGCTGCTTTCAGCTCATAGTTTTGGTTTTACTGTAAATTTACACCAATCAGCCGTAACATTATGACCACCTGGGCAAAAGATTCACTGTGTGCGATTCACTGTGTGCTCTGACACCTTTTTATCAGAACCAGCATTAACTGTTCAGCCAGGTTTGAGCTACAGTGAAGCTTCTGTTCTTGTTTGGATCGAACCACAAACGGGCAGGCCAATTACTCATGAGCATCAGTGGATCTTTTGCCCCATGACCCCTTTCTCTGGTTATTTTTCCTGCCTTGTGGACACAGCTTAGATAGATACTGTACCTGCTCAGACTGGGACACCCCACATAGAGCTGCAGGTTTGAGATGCTTCTGACCCAGTCGTTTCTAGCATCAACAATTGTGCCCTTGGGATGATCGTCGCTTCAGAATTCCCCTCCGCTGCCCATTTTCTTCTCGTGCTTCGTATATCTAGATCACTTCTGAGGACATATAATGTTGCTTAATTAAACCACCCCATCTGACAGGAAGCTCGATCACCAGCGATAATTAGTGTTATTCACGTCACCTCAGGGTCACAATGTTACGGTCTTGTCATGTCTTCTTAAGGAATTGGTTAGAAACAAATCAGAGATAAAAAGGTGATCGAATATTGGAACTTGACACAACCCACAGTTTAATCAATAATGTTCCACGCTGCTTGGATGTGTAGAATGTCTGTAAAAATAACAGTCATCATAACATTGGTAAGGTGAAGTATGTCAAACAAACAAACATAAACAATGAATTAATTGTTTATATCAACTGGGATAATTCTAGTTTGTTAGCAGACGTGTTTTTATTAGCTGTTATACTTATAAGTCACTATCACTTTTACTATCACTTAATCCTGTTCTATTTTTGTGATTTGATTTATAATGGTCACTTTTCCTTGATGGATTGTTTCTTACCTTTTTTTTACAGATGCTGACAAGTCTGTTTTTTAAAGCAGAGCTGCATATCTTTAAAGTTGCATGCTTTTATAGTCCCGAGTGATGAAGTTTAGTTTAGTCATTCCACTGGTATTTTATGGTGGGCAGGAACATACCTGTCCACTCGGCTATTTCTACCACAACAAAGTAGCCAGCTTGTGCACGCCAGGATGGCTCTTCATGAGAGCCGGACGATCACTGTCAAGGACCAGAGTCTCCAATAGGATTGAACGCCTTCGCTCAAGCTCACAACTCGTGTTAAGGTTCAGATGAGGCAGATCTTACAAGTTGCTTTGTACATCACACCATCACTGGCAATTCAGGAGACATTTAGTTGATCTTGCTTAAATGTGGAAGGTATGAAATTCATCATATACAGAAAACCTCATAATTGTATTGCAGGTGCAGTTTATACTGCTTATGGGGAGCTTTTTTTTAACAGTCTTGTATTATGTCACTTTTACAATGTTTTTATTACATTGGTAAAGTTGAATAATACTTTTCATTTTTCCTCTTGAAGCTTCAGTGTGCCAAAACAAAAAACCAAAAAAGTGTGGTATTTGGAATATGAGATGGCTTTTACTTTTTTACTCGTGTGATAACGTGGGGGTGAACGCACACTTAAGTGCATAAGACTGCAGACTCTGCAGGAAACAGCAGGTTACAGCAGCATATGGTACAAGTATGAATATGTTTTTAAAGTTGGACCTTGCAGGCTTTGAATATTGTCAAGTTGGTGGGAATTTACTTATGTTCTCAGTTGTGCTTTTTGTGTTTGTCGTTTGTTGCATAGACCTTCTCAGTATCAAGCATGGTTGGATAACATGAGGGATGCAGACTGAATACTAGTGTATTCATTTTGTGTGTGAGCAAGGTCATTCAGGAGGATAAAGGACAGACCTTGTGAGAAACCAGAGTGTTGGCTGAAAATACCACATGGATTCCTTGATTTTGGTGAAGGCCTTGAGTCTGGGAGGTTTGGAAGAGAAGAGTTTTGATGATTTCTGGTTGAGTTATGGCAGTGACTTTTGATGGACACATTTCATATGTTGTTTAAAACACAAATTGGCAGCCTTTTGGAAAAGTACAAAGAAAAAGCTAAGAAAGAGCACGTTGATTAAGTGTTGCATTTCTGCTGTTTGTTGTGAAAGAAACTTGTGATACATTGAGCACTAGATAAGATATTCTGCCACATTTTGTAACCAGTAGTTTGGCTTGTAGTTTACCCGAGAAGTAATGGAATACTCTCGATGAATAAGCGATATTAAAATATTATGATGGATTAAATGATTCATAAGTCTTACATGTATTATTGCGACGTTGCATTCAGTAGTAAATTGCTTTTTGCGGAATAGAGTCATTTGGATGGACGAGGTTCATCCAGAGAATCCATGAGCTTTGTCTATGAAGGAAAGGATTAATAGTCAGAGAACAAATTATTAATCACTAGAAAGCACCGCCCACAGTGTTTGATTAACAAGTGATATTATTGGAGGTGAACTGCATAAAAAACACCAATAAAGCCAATTCCAATAAAGTGAATCTTTGTTTTTTAACAGCTGACCGGTTGCTGAAGTTGATTTCATTATCAGTAAGGGTTGAAACTAGTGTTTCACCTGTCAGCTCAGAGGGGATCGTACCCTAAGCCTGAGCTCACCTGGTCCACCAGCCCTCCGTCCAGTGTGACCTTCAAGAACACAACTACAGTCCAGAAGACTGAACAGCAGCTCTACAACATCAACGGCTCTCTGATACTTTCAGACAGTGGGACTGATGTGACCTATAGCTGCACCGTCAGCAGCAGCGAACACAGAAGAACAGCCACTTTGTTTAAACAACGTAAGTGTTAATAAGAAGACCTGCTCTATGTGGTGAATCAGTGCTGCCTTCATTGTGCCAAAACTCCATAGTCCTCATATCATAAAGATGGTCAAAGGCTTTATTGTGCAGTAATAAACAACTTGTCAGTGCAATGAAATTCTTTCTGTGTGTCTCAGCCTGGTGCTGATATTCAATGAGCAAAATGAAAAAAAATTAATGCAATGAATAAAATAAAGGAATAAGAAAAGCACTGAGGGCAAATATAAACAGACATGGGGCAGTGGCTTGGTGCTGTTAATCTGCTCTTGAGCCTCGAGGTCCTGTTAAAAATAAACAGCTGGTGATTTCCCTCCTCTGAATCAGAGAGCGTGCAGGGGCAGAGGGGTTGTTTAGTTGAACATGTTGCAAGAGTGGAAAATAAGTTTTATTCCTAAAACTATGCATTAGAGATGGTTTTATGCAGTAACACTGTCAGATATAATAATGTCAGGGAGGTTTTCTCCTGCAAGTGGCTCACTTTACCGCCCCCTTCTGTCAGTGTTGTCTATAATATTCTTTAAACCAGTTGTTCTTAACCTTTATGGTGTCAAAGACCCCTGAATTGATGCCCATCAGGCCATCGACCTGTATTTTGTATTGCAGTTATTCCATAACTGTGTTAACAGAGTGAAACCTATAAACAGAATAATAATAAATAATCTCATTGTGCTAACTTCTAGTCAATTAAATTAGTGGTTCTCAATCTGGGGGTCAGGACCCATACTAGAGGTCGCCAAAGCTTCACGGGGAGGTCGCAAGGTCTTCTTGATTTTAAGGGGGTGTAAGAAAACTTATACACATAAAATATACACAGTTTATATGAAATGTAAATATGTTATTTAAGATGTAAACTCTGAAGAGCTGAATTCAAGTTATATATAAATAAAAAGTATATAAAAAGTAGCCTATTAAGTCTGTATGATTGTTAGAAATTAATAAAATACATAATACAGGCAGAGAATTATATAAAAAGTTGCTAAAAAATATCAGAAAACTCATCTCTGATCAATAGTCCCCCCCTTTAAAAAATAAAACACACTGACACACACCATTTTTGTGTTTTATCATTTCAGTTAATAAGACTTCGGCCGCTGAAACAACAATCAACTGCCCTTCCTCAAAGGCACCTCCAACAGTCTTCATCTGGAGATTCAACCACAGTCAGATTATCGTGACCCAAACCGGAGCCAATGTCCCCTACAAAGTGTCGGAGGAGTGGAGGCAGCAGGTGAAGGCTGTCTCTGAGTCAGGCAGCCTCACGCTAACAGCCCTAACTCCAGAGCAGCAGGGAACTTACACCTGTGAGTTCAGAAATGAGGAGGAGACAAACGTAGAAAGCATCTTTCTGAAGATAGAGGAAAGTAAAGGTAAGAGAGAGCTGTGATTACCTGGTTCATATAAAGGATCATATTACACCTCGATGCTGCAGTAGTTGTCATTGCATAAGTTTTGCTGGTGGAAAATAAATTAACAGAATTTTTGTTTTCTATTTCAGACCCTGACATAAATGCTGCAGGCATTGTGGGTGGAGTATTTGGATTAATTGGAATAATTGTGGTTGCCGCTGCAACTTTCTGCAAAAGAAAATACATTTATAAAAAGTGTATAAAGGTAAATAATAATTAATTCATTTTATAATATAAGGTTTATGATGGGTTAATATTGTTTGATATTTGTTATTAATGTTTGTGATTTCTGATTTTCTTCTGTTTGATTATTGTAATTTGGGTCACATGGATATAGAGCAGTGTTCTCCAAACTCCTTTCCATATTTAAGTTTAAGGGCAGCCGAGAGTTTAATGCAGTTACAGATCACTTTGGAAAATGGGAAAGTTGAATATGAAATGTGGTTTATCGAACTTACATTTACATTTTTATTGTACTTATTATAGTTTAATCATTTTAGGAATTATGGATGACTGATATTTTTTTAATTAACAAAAGAAAAAGTCTCAAGTGCCTCCTGCAGTACCCCAAAGCACCTCTAGGATTACACGTCACAAATATCAGTCCTGACCTCTCAGCTGCTTTTTTAGTTTGTTTTTTCCTGAAGTTGCTACAAATAATATTAATAGTAATAATAATGTATCATTATCTAACATTTTGTGAGTTGTTTGTAATAATGATTATGTCTTTTGGACTCAGACAGGAAGAAGTAGCTCTGATAATAAGACCGGCTCGACGTAAGTATCCTGTATATTCTGCATTTAAAATAACAATAGCGCTTATGCACTAAAGGACAGCACTGTTTTCATTTGATTACTGACAAATTTATTGTTGTCAACTCTCGTTTACATTTGTAATCATTTTGCTGGGCACTGCCTGCTGTAATCCATTTAATTAATTACCTATGGATCAATCTTCTTGGTTGAAAGTTTAACTCTGGCTTGCAATTAACTGCTGTCTCAGCTAGAAAGATGCCCTACAGCATACACAGTAGTATTGTGTGATATGAAAAATATTAAAGTGACTCGTTAAAATAGGGATAAAACAGTCGAATCTGACCAAAAAATGTCCTTGTGTTTGCTGTGTGAGTTTGTTTATTGTCTGCAGACGTTTTTTATTGTGAACAAGAATTAATCTGGAGTTTGAGCTTGACGTGTTTCAGAACTGAATTCTGTTCATTGCGTTTGCAGGGCTAGAGATGGTGAAGGAAGTAAAATGATACCCAACGGTACTACAGCAAACAGCTCTGGTGAAGATAAAGTCTGACTCTGATACATAAACAAACAGAGTTAAAGACATCGTCGTACCTCTACCTACTTGAAGGATTGAAGGATTACACTGATGTGTAAAAAAGTTCCCTGGAAACTATAAAAAAAAAACAAAAAACAGATGAGCCAATGTGAAGTTTGGCTCCACTAAAGTTTCAGTGGGAACGTGAGAGAACATTTTTATCCGGACTGATAAATGAAGGATAAGGACACTTTGCACTGTTACTGCTACAATAAGCTTCTTGTTTGGCTGATGAAGTACAGCATGCTGTTCCTCCTCTTCCCTGAAATGGGAAAGAAGAAGTAATTCAAATAAAACCTCCAGACACTCAAGTGACTCATGTGAGATGAGGATGTATTCTAGTATTCTGGTTGGACTATAAAAAAGGTGAGTAAGTGGAATCGATGAGGTTCATTGTTTTTTTTACACACCTCAGTGCCCACATGTACAGAAATCATTAACTGTTCTATAATGACTATAATGAAGGTTAGTAAAGTATTAAAGGCATGTAACTTTTGTAAATAGAAAAGACTAAAATAACGTATTGTTATTTTTGCTGAAACTGCCACTACACAGGAGTGCATGAGACAGATAATCAATGTGTCATTTTTCTTATGTTCAAACTATTTTAGAGTCCCCAAGGTTTATTGCTATCACTACAAATGCGCACAATAGCGCTTTAACAGGTGATTTGATTTAATGCACTACTGTGATTCTGTGAAGACATTATGTGGTTCTGACTGTTGTTATGTCTCTTTTATGAAGGCTTTGTGTGTCCTGGTGCAATATAATGGCTTAATAATAATGAATGTAATCAGAAATAATTTGATTGTTAAAATGTTTATTTTTGATACTACAAGTTCGTCCTGTATGAAAATAAACCGAAAACTAACTGATTAAATAATGAAATGAAAGCACAAATTCAGTTTATATAGTAGAAGTTAAGTGTATTTATGTGTGTATTTGTACTTTTTGGTTATCAACAGTGTGAAATCAAACTTTTCTTTGTGGGGTTTTTTTTGGTTTTGAAATATAAAGTTTTATCTTATAAAAATGTATTTATTGAATCTCCATGTTATGTTTTGTGTTTGTTGAGCAAAAGTTCCTCAAACAAAAGAAACAATGTTATCAGTTATCAGCTATGAGGTATTTAAACATTAACTGTGTTATATAAAAATACCACATTGTGAGAGAGAAGCCCACACTTTTGGAAATGGTCTATTTGACACTTCTACCCACCTGATTACTACAACAGGCAGAAATATTATAGTTATCACTTATATTTTAAACCTTTTATTTGTTGTGCAGCTGTGGCTCAGGAGGTTAAGCAAGTTGTCCACTAATCTGAAGGTTGGGGGTTTGATCCCTGGCTCCTCCTGCTGCGTGTTGAAGTGTCCTTGAGCAAGATATTACTTTGACATCAATGTGTGTGAATGGATTCATGTAGCATTAAAGTGCTTTGAATTGTTGGGAAGATTCGAAAGCTGCTATTAAGGTTAACTAATAAAGGTTTGTAAGATGGAAATATTCACATTAGTTTTATTTTAACATAAAAAACTTATGTAAATAGTCTTAAGTGTGAATTTTGGGGAGAAAAAGACGCAGTACGAAGAAAAGTAATATAACTAGCAGTGTAGCTAATTACTGTTAGCAACTAGTCCAACACTGCTCATTACTGCAGGAGTACTTTCATTTCTTGTACTTCAGCAGGGTTGAGTTTGATATTCTAGAAATCTTTCCACACATAGACTGCACTTGAGATCACAACCGGTGACTCATCCCTTACAGTAAAGGTGTGTTCGTTTCCAATAAACGCTCCTGTTTCACTTTCTCTCGTCCTCATGTAGCAGTCAAAGGTGAGTCTCCACAGCTACATCGTGTGCTTCTGATATTTATCACAAATGTTTACCTTGGCAATGGTATTTTTAGCCGCGGTATCCCCACAGCTCTAGAGATAGTGTCAGTCAGTCGGTCCGCCACCTCGACTGAAATATCTCCACTGTCTGGAAATTTTCACACAGCAGAAATGGTTGCACTGCAGAGTCTCCTCAATGTGCAATAATTACTGTGCAATACCATTCCATATTCACTGTGCAATCTATTGCCCATGTGCAACTGCTGCTGCTACTGTTT